GTGTAACTGACGAATGTCCATATCTGTAAGTGCGCTGCAAGCTGTCAAGACAAATGTACGAGGCGCTGCGACGAGATCCCCATGATGGAAGCGGCCTGTGCTCCATGTTTGCAACTCGCGCGAATGTTTACAACGAACCGGCCTGTGCTCCACACGTGTACGTGCTGCACACTTTTACGATGAATGTGCGCGGCGCTTGGGCGAGAGCTCCATCTTGAAACTGGCCTGCACGCCATCCGTGTAGCTGTTGCGACTCTGTGGCCATGAGGCGAAACGCCCGGCCCGCCCTGCCAACACGCCTGGGGCTGAGACAAGGACAGGCTATGTATAGAGGAAATAGAAGGGAGGGCCACCGGGGCAGACGGAGGGATGGGATCGGCGGCCGAGGGCGGCGGGACAGGCAGAGCGGACCAGGAGAGAGAAGGGAAGGGGACAGAGCGACATACGTAATCGGGGCACGAGCGGGACAATCGGCGGATACTAGATGCATACATCTATGATCAAGACGACCACATCGAGGCTCGATGAACAAGTAAGCGTGACCGGCAGAGAGCGGTCAGACCTTACTGGGACAGGCGCTACAGATCTCGAAACTCAGCTCGTCCCCTGGTGTAGAGTATGCCTCTTGCGAATCGACCTGCGGCTCAGCGGGGCCTGGCATTCGCTGTGCGCAGTGTGATCCGTCGCGCTCAAGCGGCACCAGGCGGCCTAAGAAGGACGTCCAGGACTTCCAAGGGTGGGAGCGGCAGCGGCGGCAGAAGGGGGAGCCCAGGCAGGAAAGCAGGGGGCAGCAGCGGGGGGCGGGGAGCGGCGGAAGCGGAGCAAGACAGAGAGGTGGCGAGAGGAGCGGGCTGAGCAGGAGGGGGGGGAGGCCGAGCGTAGACGACAGAGAGCTTCCTCATCAACCCTCCTCTTTCCTGGGCTCGGAGCGGCGGCGGCAACAGCTACCGAGGAGGAGGGGGAGTGGGACGATGAGGAGGAGGAGGAGGAGGAGGAGGAGGAGGAGGAGGAGGAGGAGGAGGAGGAGGAGGAGTGGGGGGTGGAGGAGGAGGAGGAGGATAAGGAGGAGGAGGAGGAGGAGGAGGAAGAGGAGGAGGAAGAGGAGGGAGAGGAGGAGGAAGAGGAGGAGGGGAAGGACATTCAAAAATCAGCGCGTTGGAGGCGAGTCCGAACGGCGGCGGCTATACAGCAAGCCGTGCTCGAGCGAAGGGCCCCATGCGAAAGTGGCGACGCTCTGCCTTGGCCTGCCCGTGGCGCCTCGCTGGCCACTGGCGAACGAGGGGCCCCGCTGCAGGGAGCTGTATGCTCTCCGCCTTGGGCTTCGGTGCAGAGGCGAGGCACCGCTGGCCGGTTGGGGGAGGTCGTCGAACGGGCTCTCGCAAGCAGGAGGGCGCAGCGCGGGGCCGCCTGAGAAATCAATCCGTTTTCGGGGGGGGGAGGGGGGGGGCGGGGCCCAGTGCCCCGAATTGGGGCCAGGCACGCAGGAGCAAGAGCCATGAGGGAGAGGAGCGAGAGGGAGCGGAGCAAGAGCCAAGAGGAGCGAGAGGGAGAGGAGGGAGAGGGAGAGGAGCGAGAGCCAAGAGGAGCGAGAGCCATGAGGGAGAGGAGCGAGAGGGAGAGGAGCGAGAGCCAAGGGGGGAAGGAGCAGCGACAACTGACAGAGAAAGAATGGGAGAGCGGACAGCGACAGCCTCAGAGGAGGAGGAGGAGAGGGAGGGCAAACACGCTCGCCCACCCCGAAGGGTCGTGGGTACGCCCAAAGACCCGACGAGCCCGTCCTGCACGACGTGCCAGAATCGCGCCTTGCTCTGCTCCCCCAGCTTGGCGCAATCGACGCGCCAAATGCGAACAGTGTCAGACGCATGCGAGATGCAGTATTACTGCTTTCTTGTGCATCTCGCTCGAAGGAAAGCGTCTCCTTCTGTATCTTCCCACCTCTCTTGGATGTGGTTACCTCTTTCTACAACCGACATCAATTGCAAATCCAAGTTCGTTGTTTGTCTTCTTCAAAGTTGCACCCGAATTCTGCATCCGGAACCAATGCATGAAATTCGTCGTCTTCGTTCGGCTGTTCGCTGACCCTTGATTCACAATCTTCGGTGATTGGAGGCGCGAGCCGAACTGCCGCGATAACTTGCCTTGCGCCCCACCATTATATGTGCAAAGGGGGGGCATTGAGGGATGGCCTCCGCGTGAGAAGCATCTTCTGGTACGACATGTCGTGTGAGTATGCGTTGGCCACTTTCTTGAACAACCCGATGAAGATCCATTCGTTCAGCGCCCTTGCAACCTCTTTTTCTCGGCTGGCAGCATTAAGTTCTCTCCGAATTTCCGCCACCGCGAGGCCCTTTTTGGGAATGAGATCTTCCATTGCGAATTCCTATACTCGCTAAATCTGTATTCCGTACGCCGCGTCTTGTGGTTCCATCTCTATCCCTTGCTCTGCAACTGAACCAATTCTTGCGTGATCATTCGAGCTACTCTCACCAATTCCTGTGCTTGAACTGGAACAAAAAAGGGTGCGCTGAGCCAGGCACCGAGAAGACATGGGGGCAAAGGGTGTTGTAACTGAGCAATCGTCCACCTCTCCCATAGAAGCTCCAAAGCTCTCTGCTGTATGACGTGCACCTTCGACCTGCCGAAGTCCGTCCACTTCAAAGCTACGTCCCAGCCCGGCCGGGAACGCAAGATTCACCTCGGCAAGAATTTGTAAAGTGGTGCATTGCGCAAGTTGGGCATGTGTGCGTCGTATTATCATTCGTCTTTTGTACTCGCAGAGGTCACACGAGAAGACAGCACACTGCAAGAAATCATGAGCTGAAATCTGCTGTGTTGCAGCGCCCCTTACCCAAGTGAAAAGGGGCTCGGGGTTCAGAACGAATGACTCAGTATCAGGCTTTTTCTTCCCTGCCTCCTCCTCACTTGGCCAAAGCAGAGGGCTTGCCTGGCGAATGTCGTCAAAAAAGCACTCCTGAGACTTCCGTCACGGTCGGGTCTCTGCTCGAGCTGCACGACGGTGACTAGGAGGGGGAGGGGGAGGAGGAGGAGGAGGAGGAGGAGGAGGAGGAGGAGGAGAACGTGTGGTGGCAACCCATGCTAGCCTCCCATACCATATTGCTGGCTCTTGCGAATCGACACTGGCCGATGCTAATCGACACTAATCGAAAATAAATCTACGCTAATCGACGCTAAGTCGGTTTTCATCGACTACCAGACGCCCGCGCACGCCAATGCATTGCAACTACGGAGTTACGAGGACACGCAAAGGCTCCCATGATTGACGATCGACGAGAACGGGCGGCCAGAGCCCGCAGAGGGGCGGGAGCGGCAGCGGCGGCAGCAAAGAGCGCCCGGGCGGGAAGGCGGCCGGGAGCAGCAGCAGCGGGGGACGAGGAGCACGGCGGGCAGATGCTTTTTTGCGCCAGCGCTCCACCCAGGCCGCATGGCCGCGGCGAGCGGCGTCCGCCGCGGCCCCCGCAGGAGCTCCAGCGCCCTCGTCGGAGGGAGGAAAAACACCGGTGCCTTGGAAGCGATACAGTCAGTAACGCGGCAGCTGCCCCGGCGACACGCCATGCCCTGCAAGCGGATGGCGCGTCGCTCCGCTCCGCGGGACGGGAGGCTGGGAGAGGCTCGGGACACTGACGCTCGGGGACTGGGAAGTGGCTAGCGCCTCGCGCCGAAACGTGGTGGGTCAGAACCGGCGGCGCGAAGCGCTGAGCCAAAGTTCCTGACCGTAGGGGGGGTGGACTGGCTCGGATGGGGAGACAATGGCCCAGAATCGACAACACATCGCCGATCGATCGGCGATAGGCCCCAGATAGCAGAACCGCACGTTCCTGGGCAGAATGGGGAGCCGATCAGCGATCGCCGATGCCGACACCCTCCCCCCGTCTTCGCCTCTGTCGAGCCTCCCAGTGGGAGGGGGGCTCCTCGCCGCCACGGCGGGGACCCGCCTCGGGGCTCCGAGTCAGAGCGCGCCGCGGTGGAAGTCCGAGGAGCAGCGGCCGCAGCAGCTGCCTTTTGTTCCCGGGGGTGGATCGAAATCCCCATCTGGCAACACTCTATGATCCTCCAGGCGTGTGCTGGCGCCAATATGCGCTTGTCCACCGCAGCCCTTCCATGCGACGCAGGCGGTGTCATGAGAGCCGACACGGGCCGCGTGCCATCGGCGGGGATGAGCGAGGTTAACCCACACACACACACACACACACCCTTAGAGGCGTCCTGGGTGGGGAGCGAGTAGATGGGCTCGGAGGATCGCACCGCATCGCCGATGCATCGGCGATGCATCGGCGACGTCAGCGATGCATCCACGCCATCGGCTTGGAGAAAATCGGGCTCCACATTGAGCCGCATCGCTGATGCATCGGCGATGCGGCACGATCCTCCGACCCCATCTAATCCGAATCCATCTGGGAGACCTAGATTTTGGACGCCCGAAATGGGTACGAAGAAAATGGGTGCGACGCCCAACAACAAAACTTGTTCAAAACCGGCAGCGGCCGCTGTGGAGCAGGCGGCCTTCTGTATCAAATGGACAACGACCGCGGCGACGCTGGCAACGAACCCTGTTCAAAATGAACCAGAAAAGCTGTTGGACTTTGTACCCACTGCTTCCCAACCCGTTGCGATCGTCCCAAACATTGGGCTGACACATGTCCTGAGGATTACCGACACACCCTGTGACGAAAACGGCCCTGCGGCCGCACCCGGCAGGCGCCGGCCCGCAAAAAGAGTGCGGCCGCAACGCCCCCTCGAGAACCGAGGAGGGGCCATTCGCTGATCGGCTTGGCAGGCAGGGTGGCCGGTAAGGCTTCGGGCTGCGCACAGACAGCCCCCCCCCCCCCCAAGGCAGCTCAAGAGGCCGAAGCTTGCGAAAAAACTCAGCCTCCATCTTTTCCATCACGTGGGAGAGCAATTCGCTGATCGGCTTGGCAGAGTAGGGGCTATATCAGTCTCCGACGCTACCCCCCCACACCTCAGCAGCTCTGGCGCCATAGTCAGCGGGCTCCACACGACGATGGGCTCACCGGCGAGGCCGCAGAAGCCGATGCGCACCTCGCCAACTGGGAGGCGCAAGGCTCAACCAGAGGCTCCCCCTACGAAATCCAAAAGACGAAGACGGCAAAACACATACGCAGGGAGCATTGGATAAAGAACCATTGGATAAGGAACCCAGGGTCTGGGAGCCAGTGGAGCTCCAATCGCGGCTTGGCCATGGATATCACCGCCGCCCTCATCGGAGAAGGAACCCTCCAGGCTCTGAAGCATCCTGGGCACATTTCTTAACAAGACCCCCCACGTAAAGGAGGAGCGGAAGCAGCAGCAGGAGCAGCAGGATGCCCTCCAGACCCCACGGCTTCGTGACTTCATGACAGCGTGGACACCGAGTTCCACATCGTGTTCTCACAACATGATCTCCTAGAGTCTCGCATCGTGGACCCCGAATCCCAGAAGACGCCGAAACTGTTTTAGTCGCGGACTCGGCGAACGCGCGAGTCGGTCGTGGCAGGCTCTGGGCTTAAAGCGGAGCGAACTGTCCACAGAAGGGAGCCCGACCGTAAGAACATGTAGTCCTGGAAGCGGAATGTTGCGGCCTCAGGCTCGATGGAGTCGTGCAGAAGCCACGGCGCCGAAACACAAGGAGGAGCAGGAGCAGCAGCAGTGGGATGTCCTCCAGACCCCAGCTTCGAGATCTTCTCACACTTTGGCCCCTGAGAGGCCTCGACCCCCTCGCCCTGGTTCTGCTCTTCCTCCCGAGTCGGTGTTGCTACTGTCCTGGGGCCTAGCAAGGCTTCCTTCGCTCTTTTTGTCACAACGCGAGGGGGTCTTGGATCGGGGGCTGAGCATCGACCCGCTGACCAGGACCCTGGCCTGCCAACAGATCGAGGGTGCGTTAAAAGACCAGAACTTCGCAAGGGGGCCCAGCAGTGGCGACGAGAAGCCGCACGGAGCCCCACAAAAAAAAAACCCAACGCGCCTTCAAGGCTCGATCCTCGAAGCTCCATGCTCGAAGCCCGACCGTCGCAGCAAGACGTCCGAGCAGAGGGGAGCGCGTGGCCCGCGAGGGCCTGGTGCAGGAAGAGCCGCGGGCAGAAGCGCCCGTCCCGCTCCGGCGACCAGGGCCCGCCCAGGTAGAGCGCGTCGCCGACGACGGGGTGGCCTCCGTCGGGCCGCCGCGAACGGTCCCTCCTCTCGGGCTGGCGGCGCCCACAACGGGGTGGCGCGAGGGGGGGGTGGGGGTTGGTAGGCACGGTTGTGTGGCAGGTCTCGAATAAGGTAAGGTTCGGCCCGAGGGGCGTGGTTCAAGATATTGAGGTGGCCCAAGGAACGTGGTTCAAGGTGTTTTGCGGTGGTTTAAGGAATGCCCCTGCCCCAAGAGCAGTGGTGTAAGAAATTGTCGTCCCGAAAGGCGGAGGGAATTCTGGGAAGGCAGGGGCCTTCGCAGAGAGTCCCGGCAGCTCCGGAGAGCGTTGCTCGGAAGCCGGGCGGGCTCCTGAGAAGCCCCCCCAGCCCCCCCCCCTGCCTTCTCAGAAGCCCCGCTGCCTTCTTAGAAGCCCACCCCGCTCGCGCCACCCCCCTCGTCGGCCGCTCCTCTCGGAGGGTGCCACACCGCGAGATGCGGGCGCCACGCGTTTTGCTTCCACACCAGGCGGTTTTCGCCCGTTTGAGCACCCCTGGGCCTCACGGGCGGATCCAGCTCGGGGGATGCCGCGGGAAGATGGGGCCTGGGCTCCAGTCGTGATAGGTTTCAGGGTGTTGCAGGCTTGGCGCGACGTCGGAGCACAAGGAATGTGGTCCTGGCCATAAGTACCCCCAGCGTTGGGCGCCTGCCCCCCCCCCCCCCGCTCCGCGAGGGAATGCTCTGGAGACCATCTGAACCTCCCCAGAAAAGCTGGGGTCACCTTGGGCCAGGGCCAGTCCTGGCAACACCCTCTCCTCCTCCTCATCATCATTCATTCGTTTTTTCATTCACTCACTGGTTCATTCATTCAATCAATCATTCCTTCCTTTCATCCAGTCGTTCATTCCGCTCAACCATGCAGTCGTACATTCATTCATCCGTTCATTCGTTCATAAAACCAATCGTTCAATCATCCATTCAATTCCCGAACATGTACGCGCCATAGGCATTCACACAAATAGAACTAGATGCCCCAATCAACATATCCTTCTCCTTCTCATCCTCATCCACATCCTCATCCTCATCCTCATCGTCTCCCTCCCCTATCATCAGCCTCCTCTTTCTGGTGAACTTCTAACAACGTTTGAATCTGTGTTCAGACATCCAGAGGCCGTCGCAACCATCCAGAGGCCTCCAAGGACGGATCCACAGACCTCTGGAGACGCTAGGGGACCTCCAGAGATCACCAGTGACCTCCCGAAGTGTCCTCCTCCTCCTCGAACGTCCTCCTCCTCCTCCTCCTCCTCCTCCACCTCCTCTTCCTCCTTTCCTCCTACTCCTACTTCCCCCCCCTCCTCATCATTACTGTTGCGCTGGGCCTACCGGGAGGTGGGGATGCTCGTCCAAAGCATAACCTTTCCAGGAACCCATTCCAAGCGAGTTCCTCTGCCACAGACGCGCCCAGCCCCTGACACCGATCCTTTAGTGAAGCCGTCTGCCCCGACCCTTCGTGGGAGGAAGGGGGGCAAGGGAGGAAAGAGTATACAAAGAAAAGTCGCAGGTTCTGTCGTAATGCTCTTCTCCCCCTCCGTCCGCTCCTCGTGTTGCTTTTCTTCGCGTTCTCCCCCCTCCCGCTTCCCCTCCCCAACGTCGGATCGGTATCGCATTCCCGCCAAGAATATGGGGAGACATGGAGTTGTTTTAGTTAACACTCTGATCAAGTTCGTAACCCTCGGTTAGGGCTACAATCAACAGACCAATATTAGGAGGTCCTGGCGGTGATTGAAGAGGATGAGGAAACGGTGGAGGAATCCTGTTGTTGCTGCCAGCCTGGTCCATGCAGGAGTGATGAAAAATGGCCCTCGGTGAGGACTACCGCGTAGCCTGTTCAATCTCATGTTGCCCAACAATGCGCCTGCGGCTGCCGAGATGTTTTTCTTGTGGATGCGCACAGCCTCGGTGAGGGCAGGGGGGAGTTGGAGGTGGAGGTGGTGTCGTTCATCATGGGGGCGTGCGGTGGCGGAATAGCATCTTCGAGCGAGTGGTGCCAGACTCTTGGCCACCAGGGCCATTATGGACACAAGAATGGGAGAAACACAGCTTGCATAGAAAATGTCGCTTCAATCGGCAATGCTAATAGATCATAGTATGTGTCCTCTCGGCTTCACGCTGGCAGGTGGCCATTTAGGACAGACCCTCAGTAAGGACATCGATCCAGGAAGGTGATGAGGAGGTGGAGGAGTTGACAAGAATCGTGTTTCCAGCAGCTGAAGCGGGCAGGACACGAAGGTCGCCATGGTTTGTCCTTGACACCTGAAGGATGGGAGCCAACTCTTGCGCCCACAACTTATGAAGGAGGCGGTGGAGGAGGATGGCTAGCAGCGCGGGTGGGGAGGACTGAAAACGAATTCCGCGCGCGCCCCAGTTTCCGAGGGCGTGAGGAGAGGCCCAAGCAGTATAGGCCTACACATCGAGACCATATTTGGCACGCAGAGTCGGATTGTCGATGCGAGGAGGGGTGTGCGTGGAAAGGGACTACCTTGCCGACGCCTGCTGTTCTAATAATCTATGACCTCGCGGGCTGATCACCCTTTCAATTTCTCTCCGCACCTCCTGCGCCGCTTAGACTGAACTACGTGTTGCTGCTTACCCAATGTTATCGTACACCATCAATTACGCAACAGGCTCGTCGCTCATGCCTGCCTAACATAATAAAAGAATGGGAGGAGGAGGAGGAGGAGGAGGAGGAGGAAGAAGAGGTGCAGAACAAGGAGAAGGAGGATGACGAGCAGGAGGACGAGAAGGATGAGGAGGAAAAGAAACAGGAGGAGGAGGCGAAGGATGAGGAAGGAGCAGGAGCAGGAGGAAGGTGAGGGAGGAGGAAGGGAAGGGGGGAAGGGGAAGGGAGAAGGGGGGAGGAGGTAGTAGGGGGTGGGGGAGGGAGTCGGACGTTGTCTTCAATGAACCTCGTGCTCCGCACTGGGGAAGGGGCGGGAGAGATGATTCTGACTGCCCAGCCGCCTATGTGGGCCAGGTGAACCCGCGCCTGATGAGTCCGCGCTGTGACGAGGCGCAGGTGAACCGGGACGAGGAGGCGGAGAGGAGGGAGGAGGAGGAGGAGGACCAGCGTAAACCCAAGGCTTATCAAACATGTTGGAATAGACCCTCCCTCCGAGCTCACTCTTCATAGGCCCCTACAAAGATTCATCTTCACTGAGGGAAGTGCCCCATTGAGAGACAACCGCTTGTAGACCTTGAAGCGTGCCAAAACACCTCTCTCGCGACTCCAACGCCACGAAACAACCTGACTGTTGCGTCCTGGCGATCCTGAATCGCGCTAGAACGCCACTCCTGAGACTTCAACACCGCGAATTAACGTAACTGTTGCGCCCGGAGACAATCTCGAATCGATCCAAAACGCAACTTCTCGCACGTTAACCATGGGACTCAGTGGACCTCTCCAATGTCTACGACGAGTGCGCGCGGTGCTAGGGCGAGAGCCACAGCTTCAAAGGAACCGCCTTCAATCCGCGAAAATATTGCAACTTGTTTAAACGAATGTGCACGGCGCTGAAATGATAATCACATTCTGAAAATGGCCCGCCCTTACTCAATCCGTGAAATTCGTGCAATGTCTTGAGACGAGTGCGCGCGGCGCTTAAGCGAAAGCCACATTTTGAAAACAAACCACCCTGAGTTTGTTAACTCTTGCATTGTTTGCCAATAAATGTGCGCGGCGCCACGGCGAGAACCACATGTTGAAAACTGCCCGCCCTCAATCCGCACAGCACTTGCAGTAGTTTGACACGAATGTGCGCACCGCAAAAGCGAGAGCCACATCTTGAAAACCGGCCGCCCTCCATCCGAGAACCTGCTGTCAACTTCTAAGCTTCAGGATTATACATGGTACGGAAAACTCAAGCGAAACGCCTGGCCCGCCCATTCGACCCGCCTCGGGGTGAGACAAGGAGGAATTATCGGTAAGGACAAGGAACGGAGGAGGAGGGGGAGGAGGAGGGGGAGGAGGAGGAGGAGGAGGAGGAGGAGGAGGAGGAGGAGGAGACAGCGGAGAATTCGTAGGAGGAGGCGGAGGAGGAGAAGCAGGAGGAGAAGGCGGCGGAGGCAGGGAAGGAGGGTCAGGGGAGAAGGACGGGACGTGAGGCTTCTCTAGAACGTTCCAGCCAGGTTCTTGGACTTCGAGGGTGCTCTGGGAAGCGCTAGCGCAGTCAGCCTGGGTTCTGCGGAGTCCTGAGGAGGGAGGACCAGGGGAGGACGGGCGGAAGAGATGGGAGGAGAGAATGAAGAGGCAAGATGGAAGAGGAAGAAGAGCAGGACAAGGACATTCGAGAGGACTGGAACCCGAGTGCTACCCTGGCCACAAAGGACAAAGGAGGACGACGTGGATGAGGAGGAGGAGGAGGAGGACGACGACGACGACGACTAAACGACGAGGACGGGCAAGGATAGGGAAGGATTTTGGATTGCGCTCTGATTCGCCGAGGAGACGGTCAGCTTGGCGCGGCACTCACTGTGTGCTGGCAGAAACACGCGGTATCTAGCAGCACGGGCGCCAAAGTTTTGGCGAATCTCCCCGCCCCCGTCACCTAGCCCGTACCACCCCCATATCGTCGGAAGGCGCCCAAGGCGCATTGCAACGCAACAGGAGTAGGGAAAAGGCAATGGGGGGGCTGATCAAAGAGGGGGGCAAGTGAGATAGCCTGCAAAAAGCCTAAAGGGCAGCTAAGCAGGCGTGTGCGAGGCAGGGGCCAGCGGGAGCGCACGATTTTCGCACGCTCGACCTGCGTCCCATGCCTACCTCATCGCCGCAGTGCGAACTACGTCCCCGCCAGCAAAGCTATACCCAGGAAAATTGGGGAAGATGAAACTGCCTGGCTTGTCCGATGTGCGGGCAGGGCCTGCGCGCGTCTCTGACCGCCCCGAAGGAGGTTCGCCGTGCCTGGCACGGCGCCCGAAACCTCTCGACCTGGGGCGGCAGCTAGAGATCGAACGAAAAGAGAAGCACCAAGAGGCCAGAGAGGCTGACGAAAAGGCAGCTGAGTGGGGGCGGGTGCGAGGCAGGGGCTAGCGGGAGTGCGCGATTTTCGCACGCTCGACCTGCGGCCAGCGCCTGCTCCAACGCCACAATAGAAACCCCGCCCCCGTCCACATGCCCAATCCAACCCCGGCGTGGAGGCCGGTGTGCCCGATGCGCGGGCGCGGGCCTGGTGTGCCCGATACGCGGGCGCGGGCCTGCGCGCGCGGCTGCCCGCCCCGAAAGAGGTTCGCCGCGCCTGGCACGGCGCCCGAAACCTATCGAACTGGGGCGGCAGCTGGAGATCAAACGGAGAGAGAAGCACCAAGAACGCAATCTAGACCAACGAAGGCAGCAACAGCATGGCCCTGAGTCACCATGCCGCAGAGCCCCCCGCACTGCTTGCCACCAGAGAGCGAGCAGTCAGATAGAGGGGTGGGTGAGATAGGCGGTACAGAAGACGACAACCACTTGCTCTTCTGCACCCCCCCCTTTGTCCGCTCAAATCATGATGAATGACAGGCAGCAACCTATCCGAACAAGCCTCTGCCAAAATTAAGATCGAGGCTACAAGGGGCTACTTCACGCAAACGAGCCTGTCTCGTTTCCTGGAATTTAGCAGCTCTTCTGACACGCGCCTGCGCGCGATGTTGCGCAATGCGCTCCAAAACTTCGGGTGCTAACGGCACAGGGATGGGCGGGCGGGGAGGCTCTGTTGCCCTCTGCGAGTCACCAAGAAAAGCACGTGCGCCTACATACTCCTGCTCCTCGTCAGCCTCAGGTGTGCCTGTAGGTCTAACCTCCGCCGTGTCGTCTCGAACCTGTAACTTGCTCTGATGTCGGGGGGGCGTGTAGCGGTCGAAAGCGATCGAGCTCGGGGTCGCGTCGGACACGGCGCGTGCGCCGTGAGACAAAGTCAGGAGCCCATCCCTCATCAGTGCCAGATAGGGATCTCAGGAGACAAGGAACCGCAGTAGCCCATCACGCACACTACCGTCCTCCCCCATGTCATCCGGAACAACGGGCACAGTACTGTCCACATCCCCTTCCCACATGGTACGCACTGCATCAGCGGTGGCAGCAGCGATACACTTGCACAGGCCGGCGGGATACGTATTCTTTTTGGGTGTGCGCCCCTCCCTCCTATCCCTATCATACCCAAGAAGCGTTTCGTGTCCGCCCCTACCGTGCGAGCATCTGCCGTTTCCAGGGGTCGCAAGCAGGGCTGCGTGCAGCCCTGGCAATCTAAGTGCAACGATTCTAGTGGGGGCCCTTGACGTCTGCCCATGTTCACACTGATCAGAATCGGTCGTCGAGACTGCTGGGGACGACTGGAGAGCACGCATCGGATGACAGGTAAACGCGCTGACAGCTTGGAGCCTCCATTCACACGGCTGGGGGTGCTCAAGCCAACATGACGTCCCATCCTGCATATGAGCCGCGAACAGCTCCAGCAGAGCAGGGTATAGCGCATTGCCCACCCACTGCTGTTCCATCTGTCGTTCAGCAACTGCCGCCTTACCCCAAAATTGGTCATGCGTACGAAGTGGCGGGGGGCCTTGGCCTTCTGCCCATCGAGAGACAGACCAGGTCTCACACGGCGGCCCGCCACCGGACACCACCACCCGTCGTGCAAGGATGCGAGACCTCCATTCTGCAAGTGTATCCCGATCCATGAGATCCGCATCGACTGCATGTATGGCTACATCCACAAACAGGACATGTATCGCATAGTCTGAGCTGCAGTGCCCCCCTTCAAACTGTGCCTGCACATCCCCTGCCTTTCTCCACCCACAAAACAAATTTAGGACAAAGTAGTCAATTCTTCTGACGGCTCTCGGCATGGGCCCGGCTCCAATACCAGTGCACCGTTCTGTCAGGAATAATCGACTGGGGTATCTCTCAGTGGTATACTGAACAGGTTTGGCTGGCGGCGGCGGCAAGACAGCGGCATTCCCAAGCGCTTGTAGGCACGCAGCAAGCCCAGCTGGGAGAGCGGGGTCAGCGGCCGCAATATCCAAGCGTGCAGTGCCATGGTCCATCGTAGCCATCACTGAATATTAACGCTCAGTGGTGGGGCCAGCTGCACGAACTGTCGGCGCAACAACATGACGGCGAGACATCGGTACACCTGGGATCCTGCCTGTCATGGGGCTGAGAAGTCGGGGTGTGTGCTGTGTGCTATGATAACACGGCGCGGCACCTGAACTAGTAACACTCGGTACAGCAACTGCGGTGGTAGGATCACCCATCAGTATTAAAAAAAACCATGGGGAATCATGTGATAGGTAGTCTACTAGGTGAGCCCGAGCATGAAATACAGATAGGCATGCATGACAATGTCCATCTGGTGACGCCCATGCACGTGCCAGAGCTGCGTTCTGACGGTGGGCACGCGCCACATGCACGCGTAATGCGCCATGCTTCTGGAAAGCACGCGAACACCATGGACACTTGATACTGTCATCGACTGCATCATTTGCTGCACATGTAGGTGGGTCCACAAGAATACCATTAAGATCCGTCCAAATACGTTCTGGCACTCCCAAGGGACGGACTTCCTGAAAAAAATTGGCCTCCACTGTGGCCGCCGCAACATTTCGAGCATGAGATTGGGCTGTAGCGTGTCACGCTATCTTGATAATGAGTTCCCAAGCCGTTTGATTTCGTAGGATGAGGGGCTCCCAGTCACTGAAATCCTCGAGCGGTGGTGGGAGGGAAGCACAAGCTACAGCAGTCGCACGCAACCACGAGCAATCACCCATGACCATTCCCAGCCATGACCTGGCGCCGCAACCGTTCCGAGTAGTGTCGCACCACTCGGCCCGTAGCAAGGCAAATACAAGTTCGGGCCTTGTGTGCAATAGTGAACCTAACAGTCGTAGACGTGCAAGAGAGGGAAGGAGGGAGGGAGGGAGGGAGGGCAGGAGCGAGCGAGGCAGAGAGGGAGGGAAGGAGCAAGCGAGGGAGGAGGACGAGCCAGACTGTACGTCTCCAGGCCGTCCGAGTACTCGTCCACCACCTCGTAGACCTCGGAGCCGCCCCGCCGCGCGCCGCCCGGCGCGCGGTCGAGTCACGACCTGGCCCCGATCGCCGACGTCTGGCCAGCCTGGCTCGGGCCCACTCGCGGCCTGGCCACGATCCCGATCCAGCGCACGTGCTTTTTGTTTTGCTCCCCCGTACAATCCATGCGCGATGGCCCCGTGTTAGCCCGCGGCGTCGGCGAGGGCCTCACGCGGATTCGCGTGTGGAGGAGGAGGAGGAGGAGGAGGAGGAGGAGGAGGAGGAGGAACAGGAGGAGGAGGAGGAGGAGAATTGCCAGCGTTCCCACTGAGGGAGAGGGAACTCCACCAGGCGAGGCACCAGCCACGAGGGAGAGGAGGGAGAGAGGGCAGCGGGGCGCAGCGGGAGGGGGGGGCGAGCGCACATACACAGTACATGCTCCAAGAGGCCCCAGGAAGCTCTCCAGGAGGCCCCAAGAGTGCCCGAAGAGGAGGCCTCCTCCTCCTCCTCCTCCTCCTCCTCCTCCTCCTCCTCCTCCTCCTCCTTCCTCCTCCTCCTCCTCCTCATCCTCCTCATCCTCCTCCCTGCCTCCCTGCCTCCCTCCCTCCCTCCCTCCCTCCCCTCCTCCCCAGGGCACAGCGGCCCCGATGAGTGCCACCCCAGGCGCCCAACTTCGCACCTTTTTTGTGCCGCGGCGTGGAACCCTGGAGCTCTCGGCATCACCCCACAGGGGTCGGAATGTTTCTGGCCCGGAGGCCCTACACCCCCGCTTAGAGTTCAGAAAAGCCGAAGCCAAGAAGATGGACGTCACTCACAGCGTTGCCTTACACAGTAGTCCAGGTCCAGATACACGTAAATCTAAACGAAGAATGAGCTCCTTGAAAACGCCCAGGGCCCAGTCACGATTCTTACTTTCCTTCATCGACACCAGGATTCCATGAAAATTGCTGCGTGTTATTACAATTCCCGGTGGGTGCAAACTAGCCTGGGAGGTCCAGATCACAACGCCCGTCGGGCAGGGCTCCTGCTGGCAGCACACGGGGCTCCTGTTCGCGACGCCCGTCGTGGACTTGTTCGCGACACCCCGTGGGTCTGGAGATGAGGCGGCCTCTCACGCAGAATCCGCGCCTGGAGCCCTACACCCTCACTGGTTTTCCATCTGCGTGCAGCCGTGGTCGCGAGGAGCCACCCTCTGCCCCCCGGCCCCACCTTCCTCGCTTTCAACCCCAGCAAAAATTACATAAACTTGCCTTTTGTATCTAGAATGATCACCACAAGCGCGTTCAAATACACCGTGTTGTATGATCCTTCAGTCCGTGGACTTTTGTTGGTCGTGAGATTTGAATGAACATATCTTGATGGGAACGTTTCGGGTCAAACGACATGTTCTGAATTTCTTTGCGTTAGTCGCCTCTTTGGCCCCAGTGGCGCGACTTCAAGGCGCGCCATGGCGTCGGCTTCAGCAAAGCAGCACAAGCGCGACGCAGCCAGGAATATTCGGACCCTAAAGGAGCCAAGAGGCAAAGGAGGAGCCGAGAGGGAGCCAAAAGGGCGCCATCTCTTACGGCGCCGACCGACCAGCCGACGACCGATGACCGCGACGACGACCGACCGACCGACCAACGGACGGACGACAACCGATCGAACGACAGGCCGACGGACCGACCGACAGACTGACGGACCAACCGACGACGAGAACGGCGATAACGACGACCGACCGACCGAACGAAATGAGGACGACAGACGACGACCGACTGACCAACCGACCGACCGACCGACCGACCGAACGGCCGACCGACCAACCGACTGACAGGCAGACCGACCAGCTGGGCGACCGACCGACGACGACCGACCGAGGCGACGACGACGGACATACCGACCGACCGACCACGCCGACGACCGGACCGACCCACCGACCGACCGACCGACCGACCGACCGAGGCGACGACGACCGACAGACCGACCGACCGACGACGCCGACCACCGACCGACCGACCATTCCACCGACCGACCGACCGACCGAAACGACGACGACGACGACAACGACCGACGACGACGACTGACCGACCGACCGACCGACCGACCGATCGACCGAGACGACGACGACCGACGACGACGACAACCGAGACGACGACGACCGACGACAGAACCGACGACGACCGACGACGACGACCGACGAACACCCACGACGACGACCGACTGACCGACCGACCCAGACGACGACGACCGACGACGATGACCGACCGATCGACCGACCGACCGAGACGATGACGACCGACGACGACGACCGACAATCTGACAGACCGACCGAGCACCAACGACCGTTCGACGACCGACGACCGGAACGACCGACCGACCGACCGACGGCCCGACCGACCGAACCGACCGACCGAACGAAACGACGACGACCGACGACGACCGACTGACCGACCGACCGACCGACAGACCGACCAACCGACTAACGCCGACGACGACGATCGACCGACCGACCGGCCGAGACGACAACGACCGACGACGACCGACTGACCGACCGACCGACTGACCAAATCAACGACGACCGACGACGACGACCGTGAAACTGACCGACCGACCGAGCGACACCGACGACCGCTCGACGACCGACCGACCGACCGACCGAACCGACCGACGGCTCGACCGACCGAACCGACCGACCGAACGAAGCGACGACGACCGACGACGACCGAACCGACCGACCGACCGACCGACCGAACCGACCGACCAACCGACTGACAGGCAGACTGATCAGCCGGGCGACCGACCGACCGATCGACCGAGGCGACGACGACGGACAGACCGACCGACCGACGACGCCGACCACCGGACCAGTCCACCGACCGACCGACCGACCGAGACGACGACGACGACGACGACGACGACGACGACGACGACGACCGACGACGACGACGACGACCGACCGACCGACCGACCGACCGACCGACCGACCGACCGACCGAGACGACGACGACAACCGAGACGACGACGGCCGACCGAGACGACCGACGACGACGACGACGACGACGACGACGACGACGACGACGACGACGACGACGACCGACGACAGAACGACCGACCGACCGAGACGACGACGACGACCGACCGAGACGACGACGACCAACCGACCGACCGACCGATCGACCGACCGACACCGACGACCGACGACGACCGACGACGATGACGATCGACCGACCGACCAACTGACCGAACCGACCGACCGAACACCGACGACCGTCGGACGACCGACGGCCGGAACGACCGACCGACCGACCGACCGACCGAACCGACCGACCGAACGAAACGACGACGACCGACAGACCGACTGACAGACCGAACCGACCGACCGACTGACAGACCGACCGACAGACCGACCGACCGACTAACGCCGACGACGACGATCGACGGCGACAGACCGACCGACCGACCGACCGAGACGACCGCCGACTAACGCCGACAGACCGACCGACCGACTGACCGACCGACCGACCGACCAAGACGACGACGACTGACGACGACGACCGACCGACCGACCGACCGACCGACCGACCGACCCCGACCGACCGACCGAGACGACGACGACAACCGAGACGACGACGGCCGATCGAAACGACCGACGACGACCGAGACGACGACGACCGACGACAGACCGACCGACCGACCGACCGACCGAGACGACGACGACCGACGACGACCGACGACGACCGACTGACCGACCGACCAAAACGATGACGACCGACGACGACGACGACCGGCAAAGTGACCGATCGACCGAGCACCGACGACCGTTCAACGACCGACGACTGGAACGACCGACCGACCGACCGACGGCCCGACCGACCGAACCGACCGAAACGACCGAACGAAACGACGACGACCGACGACGACAGACCGACCGACCGACCGACCAACTGGCTGACAGGCATACCGACCATCCGGGCGACCGACCGACCGACCGAGGCGACGACGACAGACAGACCGACCGACCGACGACGCCGACCACTGGACCATTCCATCGACCGACCGACCGACCGACCGAGACACTGACGACGACGACGACGACGACGACGACGTCGACGACGACGACGACGACCAATGACGACGACCGACCGACCGAGACGACGACGACCGACGACGACGACCGACCGACAGACCGACAGACCGACAGACGCCGACAACGACGACCGACCGACCGCCCGAGACGACGACCACCGACGACGACGACTGACCGACCGACCGAGACGACGACAACGACCGACGACGACCGAAGGACCGACCGACCGACCAAGACCGAACCGACCGACGACGACGACGACCCACGAACTGACCGATCGACCGACACCGACGACCAGACCGACGACGACGGCGAGCGACGGCCGACGACGTCGACGACACACGACGGCGACGGACGCCTTCGCAAAAGTCCGGAAGACCGATCGCGACGGGCCAGAGTCAAATTCCTAGAAAGCGCGGGGAAGGTGTACAATTCTAAAAGGCCCACCCACCCCCCCTGTGTCCCCCCTCTCACTTGCCGGAAAGGCATCGAGGCGGGGGAGCCGCAAACCCGCCCCCCCCCGGCAAATCCATAAGGTGTATACTTTCCCTTACGGATCGCGCGACCTTCTTTCTGGAATGGCTCCAGAAACCCTCGGAGCCTCTCGGAACCCCTCGGACCCGCCCCGAAACCATCGCTGGAAACCCCGAGTGCGGGATCCAGCAATTGGTGTCTAGCATGGAATCCGTACCCACGCATATGGCTTTTTCAATCGTTTCTGCCCGCTCTGCTGAGCAACTTTGGCGGGCGTGCAATGCCGTTTCGCGCGGGCCTGGAGAGGGGGGAGAATCTTGCAATGCTCGCGCGCGGACTCCCCATGCCGACAAGACGAGTGCGCTCCAGCCCTGAATTTCTTCGGGAGACAGCGTTCCAGCCGCCTCCGCTGCCGCATGAGAGGGCAGCAACGACGAGCCGCACATCAACAACGGCCTCAACTCAGGCAGAAAAAACACACCTCGTGCAAACTCTCACTAGCAAAATAGTCCACAGACTGTAATATGTTACGTTGATGTATGATAGTGATGTACATAATTGACGTAAGTTCTTGTAATGTGCTACTGATGTACAGTGTTGGGGCCCGGTCTCGATGCGTTTGTGTTCGTCAGTGGTGTGTGAATGGTGATTGCTCTTGATGTATGTTGTTGGCGTGGTTGGCTCGGAATTGCTATCGTTGTGTGCCACTGCTGTACGTGATTGAAGCATGATATTGGCACACAGTGTTGATGTCTATGCCTGGTGCGTGCTATCAATGTACGCGGTGTTGTCTGACAATAATGCCTGTGTGTGATGCCTGTTCTTGGTACCTGCGATTGAGGTATGTCTATCATTGGTGCATGTTGTTGGGACCTGTGTTTGAAGTGTGTGCGCGTTCTTGGTGCATGTAACTGATTGCTACAGTAGTACTGTGTATGTGGCTGGTAATGGTGGTCGATGTGTGAGTGTGTGTGATGGCTTATGCTCTTGAGGCGCGCTTTTGATGTACGCTCATGATGCACAGGTTTGGTGTACGAATGCGTTCGATGTCGGTGTGTGGTGGCAATTTGTGGTATGTGCTGTTCATGCATGTGCTTGGCGATTGTTCTTGGCGCGTTTTACTGATGCTTGTGATTGATAAGTGTTATTCGTGCATGGTATGTATGCGAGGGGCCGCCCGCCGCCCACCAGTCTCCCCACACGACACCACCACAAAAAAACATATGAATTTGAAAAATCCGCGTCCCCCCTTTGACGAGTACCAGGTCTGGGTCCTCCTCCTCCTCCTCCTCCTCCTCCTCCTCCTCATCCGCCTCCTCCGAGTAGCGGGCCGTGACGGCATCTTGGCCGCTCGCGTGCACGCGACACCTGGCCTGCACCGCGAAGGTGGAATCGTCGATGGGGGCCCGCACGTCACCGTGCTTCTGGGCCAGCGACCCGTGGACCGGAAGAAGGAGGAGGAACAGGACGCCAACGCCTCCTCGTCCTCCTCCTCCTCCTCCTCCTCCTCCTCCTCCTGCTCCTCCTCCATTCCTATTCCTTATAAAAAAAATCTCCCTTTCGCACCCCGAGGCCAATTTTCAGGGCGGGCTGGGCGTTTCGCCTGAGACCTTCTCGCCATTAATGATTCTGGGGCTTACAACTGGCAACAGTTGCACATATGGAGGGCGGGCAGTTTTCAAAATGTGGCTCTCGCCTTAGCGCCGCGCACATTCGATTCAAAAATTACCCAATGTTCACGGATTGAACGCGAATAGTTGTCAAAATGTGGCTCATGCGTTTAAATAAACAATGCAAGAGTTTCACGGATTGAAAGCGGTTCCTTTTCAAAATGTGATTATCGCCTTTGCGCCGCGCACACCCGTTTTCAAAATGCGCAAAAGTTTCACGGTTCCCCGTGATTAACGTACCAGAAACGGCGTTTCGGAAGGATTCAGGATTATGCGGGTGCAACAATTCCGTTGACTCGCGGTCTTGAAATCCAAGGAATGGCGTTCCAGCACGAACCAGGATCGTCAAGACGCAAGAGTCAAGTTGATCCGTGGCGATGGAATCCCGAGAACAATGTGTTGGCATGCGTCAGGATCTCCAAACGGTTGTCTTCCAACGAGGCAGTTCCCCCAATGGAAATGGACCGTTGTAGGGGCCCATGAAGAGGGAGCTTGGAGGGAGGGTTTATTCCAACATCGTTGGTGACTCTTGGGTTTGCGCTGGTTCTCCTCCTCCTCCTTCTCCTCCTCCTCCTCCTTCTTCTCCTTCTCCTCCTCCTCCGCCCCCGCCTCCTCCTCCTCCTCCTCCTCCTCCTCCTTGGCCTGCGGGGGGGGGAGGGACCGTCCTCGTTGACACGGCTGGACGCGGCTCGTAGAATTGACCCGGATGGACTCCAGGGGGCTGGTCCTTAACCGACTTCGGCCACAGAACGCCACCAACCCACGCCGATCCTAGGCCCCTGGGCCCATCCTGAGGGTGACCTGGATCTGCACAGCAATCTAATCTTACGCCGCACCTGAAGGACGAGGAGGAGGCCGGCGAGGAGAACAGAGAGGGACTGATTGGAGATTCTCGGAGGGTTCTCTAAGGGGATTCTACGGCTTCCGGGGAGCCTCTGGAGAATCCTCCAGGGGGGAGAGCTCTAGGGGGTTTCTCGAAGATCATGGGGGGCAGGAGGAGAAGGAGGAGGCTGGGAAGAGAAAGGGGAAGGAGGAGCCCGCGGGGAGCAGCACCAGAGCGACGTAGTCCCTTATGACGTCGCGCGCCCGCATCTGGGCCCGCAGCCCCTCGAACCCAGCGCTCGTCTTCCCCACGAGCACCGGGCCGCTCGCGTCTGAGTCCTGACTACATACCAGACCACCCCAGCCCAACCTGGGGCCCCGAACTTCGGGTCGGGGAGCGTGCGGGTCCCACCTCGGTGTCTTCAATCATCCCGGACGCGCCCCCCCTGGGATTGGAGGCCCGCCTGGGGCCTTCGGGTCGGGTGGGGCTGCCTCGATGGGTGCTGCAGTCCAGGGCGTGGGCCACGCCGAAGAGGTGCGCGGCGTCGCGGCAGAGGGGCGCCGCCGCCCCGAAGCGGAGCACCAGGTACTGCGCCAGGGGCGGGGGGTCGCGCTGCAGCTGCAGGGCGGCGGCCGCCGCGCACCGCGCCTGCAGCGGCCCGCACCCCGCCGCCACGTCCACGCCGGTCGACAGGCACCTCCAGCCGGTCGGCTTCAGCACCACGACGTGGTGCGGGTCCTGAGCGGCTCTCGGAGGCGACAAGGCCAGGCTTTGTTTCGTGCTCGTGCTGCCGTGTTTGTGTTAATCTCGGGTCCGGCGCCGCTGTTTCTCTGGCTCCGTCGCCGTCGCTTCTCCGGCTCCGGCCCCGGCTTCAATCCCGCAGCCGTTCTTTTCCGCGTCGGCAAAGCAAAAACCTGCCGTTTCCAAGACTCCCAGGTCCTCGAACAGCACCAGGGGCTCCGCGCGCTGTCCCGGGAGGCGTGAGACTCGAGTCTGGGAAGGGCCCAGGTTTGCGCGGCGGGGCTGTCAGAATGACTCGATTCGATGCGGAAGTCCCCCCATATGTGCGTCTCGTGTCCCGGCACCTCCTGCTGCCAATGATTGACAGTGAAAAGAAGAATAGCCTGCTACATCGCGATGATTACGAGGCCCTTAAAGCGAAGGAGTCGGAGTTGCGAAACGGGTGCCTTGCTCGGGACATACCGGCATCTGGCGGCGAACGGAGAAATGCAAAAAAACCTGGCGGCTCCTCCCTGGGGTGCTCAAACGCCACGTCTGCGAGATCGCGGTGAGCATGAGGCTCTCAAAAGAAAGGAGGCTGAACCACTCAAAGAGCAAACCGCCTGAGACATCCCCACAATCGAGCAGCGAACGAAGAAACGATAACACCCCGACGGATCCTCCTTGGGGTGCTCAACTGCCACGCATGCAGTATCGCTGGAAGCATGAGGCTGTCAAGAGAGAGAGGCCTACGCTACCAAACGAGCAAGCCGCCTGAGACCACTCCACAATCTGGCCGCGAACGGAGAAATGCTAACACCCCTGGCGGTTCCTCCTTGGGGTGCCCAAATGCCACCCCTTCAAACTCGCGGTGAACATGAGGCTGCACCTCAAAAAAAACTTGAGCCACCGAACGAGCAAACCGCCTAAGCCATCACAACAATCTGGCCGCGAAAGGATACATGCAAACACCCAGGGCGACTCCTCCTTGGGGTGCCCAAATACCACGCCTGCTGCAACGCGATGAACCTGATGCTCTCACAACAAATGAGTCTATGTGTGAGTAAGTCCGAGTCTGACGAAGTGTGCTTGAATGTAACATTCTGCGTGAGCGAAATTCATTGTGAGGAAGTCTGATTATCATGACGCTGAGTACGAGCGCATGTAGGTGCGAGCAGGCTGAGTGTGAGTGAGTCTGAGTGCGAGTGAGCCTGAGTTCGAGTGACTCTGAGTGCGGATAAGTCTGGGTGTGAATGAATATACGTGCGGATGAGTCGGAGCGCGATTTGTCTGAGCATGAATGTGAGTGGGGTGGGGGATGAGTGTGTCTGAGCACGATTGTGAGTGGGCGTCTGACTGCGAGGAAGGCGGCGGAAAGGAAGGAAGGAGACGTCCCAATAGTAAGATGAAACCCATTGTAGAATTTGGTGTAAATTTGTGAGATCTGACGCGGCTTCCCGCTCCAAGCATCTCGCGAAACCTGGCCCGTCAAAACTCACGCCAGGACCGTGAAAAAGTTCTGGCAAACCTGAGCAACTGCAGATTCGAGTCCTTCTGGGAGGCTGGAACACACACACACACACACACACATATGGATGGATCTTGAGGCCACCCGCTGGACACACGTGCGGAAGCCAGGCGTACCTGGCCACAGATGGGCCGAGCGCTGGAAAGGCCTGCGGCCACATGTGCATCCAGCTCTCGCCCAGGCGACGCTGGCCAGGGACGAGTTCTGAGGGCGCGTCCAACCTTGGCGACGACATTTACGAGGAAGACCCCAGGCAAATAGCTTGTGAGTGACCCAGACCGACCAGACCAGGGGCATGTGGCGGATTCCGGAAACCCTGAACCCAAAAATGTTGTCATCTCTTGGGGGCGCATTCTTCACTTCCGCCGCCTTCCGCCGCCCTTCCGCCGCCCTTCCGCCGGCTTCCGCCGGAGGAGGCGGCCTCGTTTTTTCTCCCGCCGCCTTCCGCCGCCCTTCCGCCGCCCCTCCGCCGCCTTCCGCCGAAGAGGAGATGACAACTCCGTCGATCCTTGAAGGCGAGGCCCTTGTTGGAACGCCTCATGTGTATCCAGCTTCCTGGCACGCCTCCCCGAGCTTCGCCCCCAAGGGTGAGCAGGAGCCCCCCGGCGCGGCGGCGCCCAGCCAGGGCACGAAGGTCTGCGGGCAGTCAAAGATCGGGGTCGCGTGGAGGTCAGGGCGTGGAAGCTCTGGGGCGCGCACGCTGGTAGAGAAAGAAAACACCGCATGAACAGAAACAATCGGATGTATGCACGGATGTCTTGGATCTGCGCTGAAGCCGCCTCCCTGGCGCGCGGAACGCGCCAGGGGCGGCGCCAGAGGCGTTAACAGGGGGGTCCAGCGCAGATCCCATTAATCCGCGCGGAACTCCGTAAGTTTCTGTTCATGCAGTTGTTACTTCTTCGAGCTAGGCCCATCCTGACGCAGGAGGTCGGGGAGATGGACGATGCAGTTGTGCTTCAGCGTGCCCTGGACATGCATCCAGGCGCATCGGTCCGTGCCGCAGTGCCGCTCCCAGAGGTCCGACGTCTTGATCTATTCAATGCGTGCCCCCCGAAGTCCCGACCCGTCCCTCGGCCAGCGTTTCATCCTAAGCCTTTTTGTTGACGGTCCGGGGACCAGCGAGGGGCCCCAGAGGCCGAAAACAACAACAACAACAACAACAACAACAACAACAACAACAACAACAACAATTACTAGCACGTGGGGACACTCCGTTCTCACCAGTGCCAGGGTTTTCATAGGAGGCGGGCAATACCCCCACTTTGTGGGGGGGCCGGTTCAAGCTCTACCAAATTTCCAAACGACTCTTCGCCACCACCCACACCCAGCTTCCCGCCCTATGACGTTCGGACACTTCACTTCGTGGCATGCGGACGACCGTGGCTACTATTCAGGGCCCCGCGGCCGACGACGACGGCGTGCGCGCGCGAAGAAAAAACGAATGTGTCCCGCATGGTATTATTTGACAGGGATGATGGCCCTGGCAGGTGCGCAACCGTTGTTGCAGAAGTTCGAAGCACGTGAAAAAGTTGCTCGCAAGAGCCCGTTTGACAGAAATGTTGAAAAAGTATTGGGTTTCCTAAGAAATCCGCAAGAGCGCGCGGGATGAATTTTTGAAACTTTTGTTTGAAAAACCATTTGGTTTTCATGTTTTTATGTTAAAATCGCTACGAAAACTAAGGTTTTGGAAGGATTTCATCTTGCGCGCGCGAGTGTGCATTTCGTGTCATTTTTTGCAAAGGATTCTTGAAGTTTGGTTTTTTTAGAACAAGACATGTCATTTTATATTGTTCTTTGACAGGGAAAGCGGGCGTCAACAACAACAATAATAAGTTTAAGACTGTTCGCCCTTATATGCTCGAGTGTCCAATAACGCGTATTTCCCAAACCCTCGATACCCGCCCTCTTCGTCTTCGATCGAACCCCTTTTGGGGGGTATACCTTTCTTCCCTGCAGGCCGGGCCCCGGCAAGCGGCGGGGCGGCCGCGGACCGTCGGCCTGGCCAGCGGCAGCGCTGATCGGCGGGGCGGCCGCGGACCGTCGACCCGACCCCAAGAGGGACGGACAGGGGACCGACCACGACGACGACGACGACGACGACGACGACGACGACGACGTCGAAGACGACGGCGACGACGACGACGACGGCGACGACGAGCGAAAGCGAGAGCGAGAGAGAACGACAGCAGGGCCACGAAGGGCACGAAGTAGGCCACGAAGGCCGACAGCGGGGACACGAAGGGAATGCGTATGGGGCCACGAAGAGCGCGAACGAGCGGGGGCCACGAAGTGCAGATAATGCGGGGCCACAGAAGGCAACTATGGGGCCACTGAGGGTAGCAACTGGGCCACGTAGGACAGTGAGGGGGACACAAATGGCGACAGCGGGGCCACGAAGGGCATGCACATGGGGCCACAACGGGCGCGACTCCTGGGTGCCTGGGTGTCGGGAGCGCGGCGCTTGGGCAAATTGCAAGAAATTCCAACGCAAGGCCATTCTTCAGTAAGTTGCAAGCAAGTCTCCAGCGAGAGCGCGACTCCAGAGCGCCGGGAGAGCGATTCCTGAATAAATTGTAAGGAAGTCCCAAGCGAGAGCGCGATTCCTGCATAAAATGCGAGGAAGTCTCGGGCGGGAGCGGGGGTCCTGGCTAAATTGCAAGGAAGTCTCAAGCGGGAGCCGTTGTTGTCGTAACCCAGGGGCGACTTACCCTGGAAGACTTACCCTGTCAAAAAACAAGGTGCGAGCGTCGAGGGGCACACTTTGATTGAGAAAAAACAATATGCACCGGTGGGGGGGATCAACAAAAATTATTCTTCAGAAATGAAAATTCAACAACAACAACAACAACAACAACAACAACAACAACAACAACAATTACTAGCACGTGGGGACACTCCGTTCTCACCAGTGCCAGGGTTTTCATAGGAGCCGGGCAATACCCCCACTTTGTGGGGGGGCCGGTTCAAGCTCTACCACATTTCCAAACGACTCTTCGCCACCACCCACACCCAGCTTCCCGCCCTATGACGTTCGGACACTTCACTTCGTGGCCTGCGGACGACCGTGGCTACTACACTGGCGCATGGGTACAGTGACTTGTTGTGGTAACATTTTCTGGACGCTAGCTTAGTATACGATTTTTCCCCCTGTTCCAACACTGGACACCTGTACTTTGTACATGTGACAGTGATCAGTGATTTTGTTCGATGACGTGGTGACACACGGACTTGTTGTGGTAACATGCCGACGACGACGACGACGACGACGACGCGACACGCGCGCATGTGTCCCGCATGGTATGTTTTGCAAGGGATTGTGGCCCCTGGCAGGCGCGCGAACGCCGTTGAAAGAGCTTGCGAAAGTAGCTCGCGCGAGCTCATGTAACATAAATGTTGAAAAACCATTGGTTTTTTAGGATTCGGACAGCGCGCGCGGGTAGAAATTTTGAAAATTCGTACAGATGTTTTTCGAGGACCTACGGTGCGATTCGTATGATTTTATGTTGCGCGGTGCTAAAATTCCTAAGAAACCCAATGGTTTTTGAAGATTTCGGCGTGCGCGCGCGAAGAAAAAACGAATGTGTCCCGCATGGTATTATTTGACAGGGATGATGGCCCTGGCAGGTGCGCAACCGTTGTCGCAGAAGTTCGAAAAAGTTGCTCGCAAAAGCCCGTTTGACAGAAATGTTTAAAAAGTGTTGGGTTTCCTACGAATCCGCAAGAGCGCGCGGGATGAGATTTTGACATTTTTTTGTTGAAAAACCATTGGTTTTTTGATGTTTTTATGTTAAAATCGCTCCGAACACTAAGCTTTTGGAAGGATTTCGTCTTGCGCGCGCGAATGTCCACTTTACCTTATTTTTTGCAAGGGATTCTTGAAATTTGATTATATTAGAACAAGAAATGTCATTTTATAGTGTTTTTTGCAAGGGAAAACGGATTACAACAAAACAACCGGATCTGGATCACATCGTTTTACCTGAGGCTTCCTCACGAAAATGATGAAAATGTAGCTGCGGCCTAGGCGGCGCAGGGGGGGCGCGCACCAGGGGGCCCAACAATAATTATTCTTTAGAATAAATAATGTTCAACAACAACAACAACAACAACAGCAGCTCATCCTCAACCCCCGGCCTTAAAACTGCCAGCGAAATATCCTCACACCCCGCGCTTGGAGAACCGCCAGCCAATTATCCTCACCCCCTGGCCTAAAACTGCCAGCGAATTATCCTCACCGCCCCTAACCTAAAACTGCCAGCGAAATAACTATCCTCACCGCCCCCGGCCTAAAACTGTCGGCGAAATATCCTCAACCCCCTAAACTTAAAAGTGGCAGTGAAGTATCCCCAACTCACTGGCCTGAAACTGCCAGCGAAACATCTTCACCGCCCCTGGCCTAAACTGCCAGCGAAAAATCCTCACACCCCTCGCTTAAAGCTGCCAGCGAAATATCCTCACACCACTCGTTTGAAACTGCCAGCGAAATGTCCTCACCCCCTGGCCTAAAACTGCCAACGAAATATCCTCACACCCTTCGCTTAAGATTGCCAGCGAAATATCCTCACCCCCTGGCCTAAAACTGCCAGCGAAATAGTTATCCTCAACCCCCTGACTTAAAACTGCCTGAGAAATATCTCACCCCATGAAATACAACTACCATCTAATGGCTTTGATGATGCAGTTCACTTCTGTCTGTCCACTTCCGAAAATCGAATTCTGGGCTGCCGCCGTAAACAACTTCCACAACAACAGCAACAGCAACAGCAACAGCAACAACAACAGCAGCAGCAACAACTACAAAAACGGCAGCAGCTCCAGGAACAACAACACAAACAGCAGCAACAACTACTTTAAAACAACATCAACATCAACAACAGCAACAACAACAACAATCAGTTTACCCTCATGTGCGATGTTTCCACACGAAGCATGCGTCCATCATGATAACCATCCACATCATGGGGGACTCTTGTTCTATAGCGGGGTCCATTATTCCCATTCCCAGATCTCCCGCCCAAAGAGGTCTTGCGAATACCTCCTCCGAGGAATTCCAACATACCCCGCCTCGAAAACACATGCCCCTTGCTGCGCCGATGCGAGACCACCAGTGGAACCCCAGCGAAGGGTAAAGCACAAGGAAGTATCGAACGACAGGGTTGCCTTGGTGGGGATGGGGGCTGTCGGCGGTTAGGCAAGGACCTGGCCATAAATAGGCAGGGAGGAAGTCTCGAGCAGGGCTGCTGTTATTGCTGGGAGCGGCGCCAATGCTGAAGAGAGTAGGGCGCTAGTCCAGCGTAATACAAAACGAAGTCTCGAGCGGTAGCGCTGGTTTTGTTGGGACGGCGGCTTTCGGCGGCGAGGAGAAACACCGCCTTGAGTAAGAAGGGAGGAAGAAGCATCGAGCGGGAACTGTGGTTTTGTCGGGGCGGGGGCTGTCGGCGGCGAGGAACAGCACCGTCCTGAGAAAATCTCGAACGGGAGCGTCGTTCGTAAAACGGAAGGAAGTCTCGGGCGGGAGCGCGGGTTTTGTCGGGGCGGCGGCTTTGGGCGGCGAGGAAGAACACCGCCTTGAGTAAGAAGGGAGGAAGCATCGAGCGGGAGCCGTGGCTTTGTCGGGACTGGGGTTGTCGGCGGCGAGGAACAGCACCGTTTTCAGGAAAAAGGGAGGAAGCCTCGAGCGGGAGCGTTGTTCTTGCTGGGAGCGGCGCCAATTCAAAAGAGAATGGGGCGCCAGACCAGCGTAAAACGGAAGGAAGTCTCGGGCGGGAGCGCTGGTTTTGTCGGGGCGGCGGTTTCGGCGGCGAGGAGGAGCACCGCCTTGAACAAAAAAAGGATGAAGCATCGAACGGGAGCGTTGTTTTTGCTGGGGGCGGCGCTGATGAGAGAAAAACTAGCGCGGCAGTCCAAGGTAAAACGGGAGGAAGTCTCGAGCGGGAGCGCTGGTTTTGTTAGGACGACGGCTTTCGGCGGCGAGCAAA